TTTTTTTTTTCATTGAATAAAAATCAAAGATTTGAATCGATTTTGATTTTTGAATCGTCATATTACAAGTTAAAAAGTATCAGTCGATGTATACCAGCCAATGTTCGATTATTTAAATATAATTTGACTTCTGTTATAATTATTCAGAACGAGTGTCCCGATATATACCATCTTCTCAGCAGATCTTGTTTTTATAGAAATAATGGGACGTGTGAAATTTAAAGAGAACCGGATGCTAATTTCGGATTTTATAATGTTTTTGGTTATTCAAAATTTTGACCTTTCGTGGGAGAGGTACCAGAAGAAATGGTCCGATCTCTATAATCTTTATATCAGATGTTGTGTTAATAGAAATATTGGGATGTGCCAAGTTTGAATGGAATCGGAATTAATTTCGCGTTTTATGAGCTCCATGGATATTTAAAATTTGTGGGGGAGGTACTTGATGGAGTGGGTCTATATTATCAATGGAAATAGAAAATATTGAAATAATGGAAATATTAGCATTTGCAAAGTTAAAGCAAAATCGGATTATGCTTTCTTCTTCTGTGCCTTAAAATATTTTATTTTGAAAATTTCGACACTTTGTGGGAGAGTTAAAAGTAGGATAGTACCGAATTTTTTTTTTAAATTTTTTTGAATGAAAGAAAAAAAATGTCGGAAATAGCATCAAATTTTAGAATAAGTTTAGATTGGTTCGAATTAGTCACCTTTGGCACGAATTATGGACTTCAAACGGCCAAATGAAACCGTCACACGCTGCCCGAATGTTGCTCTGCGGTATATTGGCCCATTCCCGGCGAAGCGCTTTCTTGAGGTGATCGACACTTTGGTATTTTTAGTGCCAACCTTGCTTTCCAAAATACTCCAGACACAATAGTCCAACGGCCAAGGTCTGCGGCCAAAATGTTTGCGTGACCAAGACTTTAATACACCCTCCAGAATATTTTCGCGATAATATTCGGCATTTATTTTGATGCCAGGGTCGATTAATACGAGCGGAGAGCGGCCATCGGCACTACGGCCGGAACTTGAGTTCTGGTGGCCAACCGAAGGTGCATATTTTTAGCTGACCTCTTTGGCAAGTAACCACGATCATTTTGTTTACAAACTGCTGGACAACGAATGTTTTCTCATCGGAGAAAACCAATTTCGACAGTTCACCACTTTCGGCCAAGCGAAGCAACAGTTTAGCGCTTTTGAGTCTATTTTCTTTCTGTTGCGGTGGCTTTACCGCGAGCTCATTTTTTCAATATTTGCCGAATGAATATTGCGATATGTTCAGCTCACGAGCTATGTTTCGGCCACTGCGACGCGGGTTTCGATCAAGTCGAACCTTTACTTTTCGAACCATTTCTGCTGATATTGTTGTTTTCTTTCGTCCACTTCCTTGACGTCGGGCTACGCCACCAGTATCACAGTAACGAGCGATGGTACGAGACACAAACAGCGGTCGGACGAGTGGCTTAGAATGTGGGTTAGAATGACAGCATGCTGAAGTTGGTTCCAGTTTTTTCATCTCACCCTGTATAACCTCGTTAGCCATATGTTTGAAGGTATAAACATCAATTATACGAGTATTTTTTAAATTAAATAAAAGTAAAGGATTTGAAAAAATTGAGGTGTTATTTTGAATTGCCAGGAATTTTTGTAACGCTTACTTTTAAAGCGATAGATGCTGACATTTATTTTCTTATATTTTGAAATATATTTTTTTTTAATTCTGCTTCAATTTTCCTATTCGTTTAATCTCATTTCTTGCACATTGCCTACACTTTTGCAATTTTGCCAACGCAACGCAGACATGTATGCCGACATCTCTCTTGCACCTAAGACAACGATTTCGTAGTTGCATTGCCCCACAATGGTGTCTTCATACATATGCATTTACATATGTATGTACGAAACGTTGGAAGCAACCGACTGAACCACATTAGAGGCCATCTTTCATAGAAGTTAGATTGTGGCGGGCTGACTGTCTGGTGATGATTTCTGACGATGATGAGGATGATAATGCGGCTGCGACGATGTTAATAATGATTGTGATTATTGTCGAATAGATTCGCATTCGTCGGATGACTTGGTCGCCGAAGTCGATTTCATCTGCTGTGTTGACAAAGCGTTTTTGGTGGAAGTGAGGCCACAAGTTGCCATTTGTCATCTGGTTAATGTGCATTTGATGAAAGCCATGCAAGTAACAGCAACAACTCAAACAATAACAACAACAGCTGCAACCACATTGGAATTAAACGAAAAACAAAACAAAAGTCAAGTGTCTCTCCCCAAAATTGGGGATGAGGGAGAACGGGCGGCATTACTTCCATTATGATTGTTCGTGTGGGGGAAGCGGTGTGAGGGTGGCATTACAAGAAGCTAACTCCAATGCAAACAAATGTGATGAAAACTAATTCAAACAAGAAGATGGAGAAGAATGGGTCATTTACTTGTTATTGTTTAGTAAAATTAATTGTCTGTCACTCTAATTCGAGGAGCAGACTTAATTAGTTTCTTGATACTAGGGTATGGAAATATGTTAAGTAAAAATATTATGTTTATGGGAGCTAATCCAAAATTGATTTTGTAGACATTTTTTGAATTGAATTCATTTTATTTGTTTCATATTTTGGTACTCAAAGAAAAATTCAATTTTTTTACTCTCAGCCATTTGGCTATATCTATATATCAACGAAATAACGGTTTTAGATTCTAGGTCTCTTTGGACAAAATCCGTTTCAGGACATTTGGAGTCGATCTAGCTATGTCCGTCCGTCCTTCTGTCTGCCTGGCTGGTGTGTACGATAACTCTCGAAGGGAGTATCCGATTTGGTCCAAACTTGTTACATCGGAATATCATTATTAAACTTAGATCGAGTGCGGAGATGGTCAATATCGGTCCACTCCTTCCGGTACAACACCACCCCCCCCCCCCACAAAAGGTCGAAATTTTCAAAAGAAACAATATTTTACTGCACAGAAAGAGAACAATTTTGCTCCAACTTTGCAATTCTTTATATTTGCATCTGGTCAGGTGTGAAAATGGACAAGGGATCAGAAGTTTGTTTAATTATAATAATGAATGTGATGTAAGAGTCTGAATATCTTCAAATTACACACATTACAATATTTTATTAACCCAAGGTCTGGTGTAAAGATATAATATGTCGGTCCACTCCTTTTGGTACCTCCCCCACAAAGAGTCAACATTTCAAATATCCATGAAGCTCATAAAACATGAAATTAACATCCGATTCCATTCAGACTTGGCACATCTCAATATTTTCATAAACACAATATTCGTTATAAAGATGGTAAAGATCGGTCCATTCCTTCTGGTACCTCCCCTACATAAATTTGAAGATTTTGAAAAAAATAACAAGTTCAAAATCTGTAAATTCGGCCGGGCCGATCTTTAATTACCCTCCACCATTTGGAACTAATTTGGCAGTTTTCAAAAAAAAAAAAAACCGTTAAAAATTCTGTTAAAATTTTAAAAATATCGAATGTAGCCATTATATTAGGGCCTATATGACGACGCGGACCAGCATAGGTAACTTTTGTCAAATGCGAAACTTGGAAAACTTGGCGGCTATACCTAAACGTGGTGGTCTTAGGCTGTAGTATCCATTACGAACTTCAAATACCAAACTTGAAACAATTCCGGTGAATAATGTCGCTAAAATCATCAAAATACCCAATATCGGGAGGTACTATTATATGGGGGCTATACGAAGACGTGGACCTACAACGCCCATTTTCAATACCAAAAGTCCTGCAGACATAATACACATTTGAGTAAAATTTTATAAACATATTTCATTTCGTTCGGAAGCTAGACAGACGAACAATGCTGAATCGACATAGAATTTTATGCTGATCAAGATTATATATACTTTGTGTGTTCTAAAAAGTATATTTCGAGGTGTTACAAACGGAATGACAAACTTAATATACCCTCCATACTATGGTGGAGGATATAAAAACGCTTAAAGATAGCGAAATAAGCATCCAACTCTCTTCAAATTTCACATACACAAACATTTTTGCTAACACAAGACCTGTTGTGAAGATGGCAGATATCTGCCAACCCCTCAGAAACCTGATATGAACATGGAATTTTTGATTTCGCATAAAATTGGATATAAATGTTCACCACTTTCGGCCAAGCGAAGCAACCCTTTAGCTCTTTTGAGCCTATTTTCTTTCTGTTGCGGTGTAAGTTCTTGCACTTTTTGGAATTTTAATGGCTTTACCAACAGCTCATTTTTCAATATTTGCCGAATGGAATATTGCGATATGTTCAGCTCACGGGCCATTTTTTGGCCACTGTGACGCAGGTTTCGATAATTTAAATAGAGGGGACAAGTCTTGGCTTGTTTTGATTAAGATTCCTTGGAATCCGAGCTTTTTAGGTACATAGGGCAGATAGCAATACGAATTTGTACCATAAAAATATAGTAAGTTTTGGATCTATAGCAGATAATTTTATAATTTTTTGATAATTTTGTAGAATTTTATAATAGCAGAAATAGCAGCTAGCATTATGCATATAACTGGCTGTACACTAAGGCTATATATTTGCAGGCATACTTACTAATATTTTTCCGCTATATATTTTTCGGCATATTCACTAATACTTTACCGATTTCCGAGAATCAAAAAGGGAAACCCCAAAAACTTGTCCCATCGAATTGCAAAAGAAAAAGTCACAAAATCTTATCTCACAATAAACCTCTTCTACATGACTGAATAAAATCAAGTTTCGCATTTCAATGGCTTATGACAAAAGTTGCCTATGCAGGTCCACGTCTAGTATAGATCCCAATATAACAGCTATATTCGGTATTTTTAAGATTTTAACAGAATTTTGGCAAATATTATATTTTTGAAAATTTCCAAATTCGATCCAAATGGTAGAGGGTATTCAAAGATAGGCCCGGCCGAACTTGCTGCTTTTTTATTTGTTTTATCTAATTGTATAATTTTTTCGTTTTTACTTTCAGAATTTATAAAATCATCTATAAAAAGCAACGCTTATCATCAAATGTAAGTAAATAACGAAAAAAGAGAGAAAACATTTCTTCTCCCTCTCTCTCTCTCTTCCAGGCATATTTAGCATTACTCATAAATACAATAATATTACACCAACAACACCAATAACAACACGAGAGATAAGAAAACAGAAATTACGAATTATGGCGCCTGTGGTAAATAAATAACACTGGCCGCTTGTACTCTATGGGGCGATAATTAAAAAAGATTTCGATTTTTATTTTTTTCAAAAAAATTCCCATAATGTTCAAACAAAAACGAAAAAAAAAAACAAACAAAACAAATAAATATCGGGGGGCTTCAATGAAAATAAATAAAGAACTGGGGGCCGCACGTGTAGTTAAAAGAAAATAGATTAGATCTTTATTTTGGGCCGCGGAGAGGGGGTGTTGAACAAATTTAATTGTGCTAAATGGAGCGTAACGAAGAAATATAGCAACGTATTTTCAGACATTGTGACTAGGAAATCTTGGCTATTAATGTTGAAAATTGCCAAAGGTGTTGATTTGCCAGTTATCACGTTGTTGCTAATAATATCCAATCCAATTTCTTTTTATTGAAATAGAGATCAAATAATAATAGATTTGTAGGTGAACAAAGGTAGTAATAGACGTCACTTATTAAGAGGTATAACAAAGTTGTTTTTTTAAGGTCAATCTAAATAACCATCATTTCCGGGCACTATAATCATATGAGTCCTATACAGGGTGAGATGAAAAAACTGCAACCAATTTCAGACTGCCATCATTTCCGGGCGCTATAATCATATGAGTCGTATGCAGGGTGAGATGAAAAGAATTGCAACCAACTTCAGACTGTTGTCATTTCTAAGCCACTCGTCCAACAGCTGTTGAAATTATTCCAGTGACAGCTCATTATATTGTTTACAAGCGTACAAAAGCATTTTGTTGAGAATTTTCCAGAAAAAAAAAGTTATTCGTGATGGAATTCAAGCGTGATAGTGGGATTTCTTTATATTTGGCTGGAAAACCACTAAATGTGAATAAATATTTTGTTTTTCGTACCATCCCTCATTACCGTGACCCTGGTAGCGTAGCCCGACGTCAAGGAAGTGGACGGAAGAAAGAAACAGCAACATCAGCAGAAATGCTTCGAAAAGTAAAGAAGCGACTTGGATCGAAACCCGCGTCGCAGTGGCCGAAAAATGGGTTGTGAGCTGAACATATCGCAATATTCCATTCGGCAAATATTAAAAAATGAGCTCAGGGTAAAGCCATTGAAATTCCAAAAAGTGCAAGAACTTACACTGCGACAGAAAGAAAACAGATTCAAAACAGCTAAGGAGTTTCTTCGCTTGGCCGAAAATGGTGAACCGCCGAATTTGATTTTCTCCGATGAGAAAACATTTGCTGTCCAGCAGTTTGTAAACCACAAAAATGATGGTGTTTACCTGCCAAAGAGGTCAGCTGAAAATGTGCACCTTCGGTTGGCCACCATGGCACCGGCCATGGTGATAGTGTGGGCCGCCATGAAAGCCGATGGTCGCTCTCCGCTCGACCGTTAATTGACCGTGGCATCAGAATAAATGCCGAATATTATCGCGAAAATATTCTGGAGGGTGTATTAAAGCCTTAGGCACGCAAACATTTTAGCTGCAGACCTTTGGGATATTCCAATAGGACTCAGCACCATCGCACTCAGCACGCGCCACCCAATAATGGTTACAAAATGAGGTTCCTCTCTTCATTTCCAGCGTACAATGGGCACCAAATTCTCCGGATACCAATCCGTTGGACTATTGTGTCTAGAGTATTTTGAAAAGCAGGGTTGGCACTAATTAATACCAAAGTGTCGATCACCTCAAGCAAGCGCTTCGCCGGGAATGAGCCAAAATCCCGCAGAGCAACATGCGGGCGGCGTGTGACGGCCGTTTGAAGGCTATAATTCGTGCCAAAGGTGACCAATTCGAACAAATCTAAACTTATCCTAAAATTTGATGTTATTTCCGACATGTTTTCTTTTATTCATTAAAATTTAAAAAACAAATGTAAAAATTATGGAGTTTGACTTTGTTGCAGTTTTTTTATCTCACCCTATATCGGTCCACTTCTTCAGATACCTCGCTCCACAAATGGTACCTTTAGCGAACGATAAGTCTCGAAGGGAGTATCCAATTTGGTCTAAACTTGATACATCGTAATATTATCATCAAACTTAGATCGAGTTCGGAGTTTCACTCCTTTTGATATCAACATTTTAATGAAAAGAGAAAGGATAATTTGATTTTGTGCAAAATATGAAAAATTCCCAATATTTCTATCTGTGCTAGGTCAGGTTCTACAAGTAAAAAAGGAGCTATGTTCGGCCGGGCCGAACTTTTAATACCCTCCACCATTTCGAAGGAAATTGAAAATTTTCAAAAAAATTGCGAAAACTACTACTTAAATGAAAACAGTTATATGAAGACTATACGAAGACGTGGACCTGCAGACGAAATTTTTTGTCATAGGCTGTAGTGCGCATTACCAACTTCAAATACGAAATTTGTTATAATTACGTATTTTCACTCATGAATCGGGAGGTACCGTCATATGGAGGCTATACGAAGATGTGGACCTGCATACGAATTTGTTTGCCATAAGTTGTAGTACCCATTAAAATCTTTCAATACGAAATTTGAAATGATTCCGGTGAATAATGTTACTGAAATCATCAAAATATCGAATATCGGGAATATGGAGGCTATACGAGGACTTGAGCCTACATGCAACAATTTTTGTCATAGGCTGTAGTGCCTATGACAAATACGAAATTTTAAATAATTCGCTAAAATCATGAAAATACCGAATATCGGGAGGTACCTTTATACGGGGGCTATACGAAAACGTGGACCGACATGGCCTATTTACGAACTTAACTTGCCTACTGGTAAACTATGCATGCATGCAAAATTTAAGCCTTCTATCTCAGTTCCTTCGAAAGATAGCATGTTTACAACAAACAGACAGACGGACATCGCTAGAACGTCTTAGAATTTTACGCTGATCCAGAACATATATACTTTGTAGGGTCTATTGCAGAGAACTAAACGAATAGCGCAGTCAACCCTTTGAACATTCCGTGATTCTAAGAAATGTAAGGAATGTGGCAGTGGTAGCCTGCAGGAAATCCTTGGAAAACACTGGGTTGTCCATCAAGGTCTGTTGGGTTCCTGGCCATTATAACATCTTAGGTAACGAGACTTCAGACGAACCGGCCAGGCTAGGATCCGAATCATCTGCAATTGAAGTAGATAACTCGGTTAAACCACCACTGTGCCATTTCCTACAGATCATTCATAGGCATTACTCTGAGAGAATCCAACAAAAATGGCTGGACGAAATGGGATGCACCATCTTCAAAAGAATCTGGCCCACACTCTCAGAGAAGAGAACAAAGTCGCTACTGTCATTGTCGAAACCTGATCTAAAACTTGTGGTGGGTATCATCACAGGTCATTGCAAGGTGAGGGCTATGACCTCGAAATGGGACAGCGACGACATTGATCTGTCAATATGAAGAAGAAATCGAGACAGTCGAACACTTGCTCTGCCACTGCCCAGCACTCATTAATGTGAGACAGAGACTGCTGGGAGAACTAGTGTCACATGATCTGTCTTCTTTTTCTAACGCTGACTCTATAGTAATCCTTCAATTAGCCAGAAGATTCAAGTGGCTAAATACGACACGGAAAACTCCTCAGTCGTAGATCACACTCTATAACTCTATCTCTTATCTTCACCTCTTCTATCAACCACTTCTTCCTCTTTTCTTAATATTCTTCTAGGATGAACACAATGGACCTATAGGTCTCCGAGTGGAGCGGTTGCCATATGGTAACCGCGCATCCTTTAACCTAACCTAACCTAACCTTGTAGGGTCTATTATAAATATTTCGAGTAGTTACAAACGGAATGACAAAGTTAAAATATCCTCCATAGAATGGTGGAGGATATAAAAATGAACAATATTGGCCCGTCAAAACTTGGAGTAATCCTAACACTTATAAATGTGAAATAAGAGTTCGTATGTCTTCAAATTTCACAGATCCCAATATTTTTATTAACACAAGATCTGGTCTGAGGATAATATATAACGATCGACTCCTTCTGGTACTTCCCCTACATCGGGTCAAAATTTTGAATATCCATCAACACAAGATCTTTTGTGTAGAAAGTAGATATCGGTCCACTCCTTCTAGTACCTCCTCCACAAAAGGTCAAAAATTTTAATAACCAACACGATCGTAATAGGCGAATTGTGGATCCAATTTTCTTAAAATTTCATATATTCTAACTTTTTTATTAACAAACGATCTACTGTGAAGATAGGATATATCCGTACAGTTCTTCTAGTACCTCCCCCACAACGGCTAAAAATTTTGAATAGCCATGAAGCTCATAAAACGCGAAATGAACAACCGATTTGTTTAAAGCTCAGAACATGTTATTACTTTTAACAACATAAGATCTGGTGTAAAGATGGAATATATGGGATCTGGTACCTCCCCAAGAAAGGGTCAAAATTTGGAATAATCATAAGTATAATAAAAAATTATTTCACATTCGATTGTCTTCAATTTTTGCCGATTCCAATATTTTTATTAACACAAGGTCTTGTGTGAAGAAAGTCAGACCTCTCCCACAACGGGTCAAAATTTGTAATAGCCATAAAGCTCAAAAACCTCCAGTGAGCTTCAATATATCTCAATATTTGTGTTAGCCATAGATTCAATAGGTATTTCGAAGTATGAACGGATTGAAAGGGAGTCTAATATTCAATGGAGTTCTGTTTAGATGTATTTTTATCGGGCCCGTACTGATATTCTATACTTTTTCCCAATCCCTTCATAGAATTCCGCTGTCTACTCATTAACACGCCTCTCATTTATAAATAGATGCATATCCCTTTTAAATTTAAATATAATTTTCATAAACTTTTTCAATTTCCATTTAAAAATGACAACAGCCAAAGGATGAAATAGAATATTTCCT